TTGGGGTTAGGGTTTAGTGTTTCTTGATAAAAAAGACTAAGTTCCATTTTGCACTATTGCGCATGCGCACAAGCTGTTTTACGGAGAAAAACGGACTGCCGGAGCTCTAGCATTGCAAACTACGTCCGGTTACCGGAGCTGTAGACACAGCCTATTTTTAAAATTGAATTAAAATTATGGCCATTTTAAGAAATTGGCCAGAATCTGAAAGAAAGCCAAGGCTATAGTCCATGGTTTTTTTGCAAAAAATGGCTCCGAAATCGCCCCAAATTTGTATTCCATTTCCTATTACATATTATATAGTATAGTATTATTCCCACTGTAGGTTAGGTGAGTCAGAGTTGCTGCCCATGTTAACCATGTTAACCTCTGATGTTAACGAAGCCACACCCACTAATAATGGGGTCCTGCCCACTCTTGTTAACAGTGCTTATGATCATCTTTCCCCTGCCACTGGTTATGATGAAGTTATTAATAATAATGATGAGGATGTCCCTATTTATTAACTTATAATTAACTTTATTGTTAATTAAAAAGACAAATAATGTATAATGTAATTATTAATTAGTTTTTAGTTTGTGAGTGTCATTAACTTTTAATTTAGTGTATTTTTAAGTATATAAATTATAATTAATTAATTAATAATTAAAAATTCACTATTGGTAGTGGTTTGTGTGGTTGTTCTTTTCTGTGTCTATCAATCAATGTCTTCTTTTGATCTTTAAGAGTATCCTCCAGGAGAGGAGGAGTAATGATTCCAGCTTTAATCTGAATATATTCAAGTGATGGATGGATGAAGATAGTTTCATGTAAATGTTGTACTAGTTCTATCCAGTTAGGTTGAGATGAATTATAAGTACTATCTCTACACTCTATCCTCAGTAGTCTGATGGTTGTATGTGACTGTAACATGTTAGTAACAGCAGGTAGTACCTGTTCATAAAACAATGGTGTCATTATTTGTTTCTTCTCTTCCTCACTACAGTTACTGTATGACTGATCTGGTTTGAAGTTCACTTTAAGTTCTGTGAGATTGTTCTTTTGAGAGATGACATTAATAAAAGTTCTTATCTCTTCATTCAGTGGAATGGATACACTCAACTGCTGTAGACTGGTGTTGTGTCTGAGACCAGTTGTTAGGAAGGACAGGAATGAACTGGGAATGGGAATACTTTTGCCAATATTAATAAACTCCTTGTAACTATTAATCTCAAGGTATTTCAGTGTTTGGCTTTGTGTTAGCATGTCTTGTAGACTAGTACCCATACTGCTGGTAAATACTCTCTCCTTTATCTTTACGCTCAGAGCTTTAAGTGTAGTATTGGTTTGTAGAATAGTAAATAGTTCAATAGCACTCTCAGCTGTGTCTAGTGGTAAAGTAAGTGTATCTAGACTGGGATGAGAGAGAAATAGAAGATGTGGTGGGTATGGATCATGTAGTATCAGACAGTGTAATCCTTTGATATGTGGAAGGAGTGATGATGTCATCAGTTTACTACTCTTCTCTCCTATCTCTAGAG